CTGGGCCACCTCTGAGATGGGCGAGCAAAGAGCCAAAGGAATGGGCAAGCAAGTCTTTGCTTTCTCTTTGCCAATGTTGAGCACACAGACATTCCCTCCCAGATGTGGTCTGGTCAGCAGACCACTTGCCCCATTGGTGGGGGTGGGCAGGCGCCATGCTCAGGGCCCTAGAACTGAGACCCAGTCACCGCCATTGCTCAGAAAAGCTGAGCTTACCTCTCCCTTGGGAGGAAGGTAACTGCTGGTCCGCGGCAGCCTAGTCTCTGCTGTGACATGGAGCAAGACCAGGAGGAGGGGACGTCCCAGAGAATGGGGCAGGTAGTCTTAATGAATTCCAAAACTGAAGTTTCCTAGGTTTTTGTTTAGGAGAATAGCAAATACTCTTTCAGCCCAAGGCAGGGAAGTGTGGTGTGGGCGTTTTCAGTGCTGTGGGTGGCAGGTGCTAGCTGCTGAGAGGGACAAAGAAAACAGGGACATAGGCCTCTCAGTCACCAGAAAAAAGGCCACATTGTTGAGTCTTCACTGCTGATCCATCTCCAGGGCCATGGGAGAGATGTGTCTGAGTGACAGGATGATAAGGGACTTGGCTTGGCCTGTCTCACTGACAAGCCTAATTTGGAGGAGTGGTGCCCCCAATTGGGCTTCTAATATAATTGGCCGCTAAGACAGTCGCCTAGTCTTTTCTGAAATATTAGCATTCCATTCTAGTAAATAGATAAATTATTTCATGAGAATGAAGTGCTAGAGCTGGAACCTTCTTTCTCAAGGACCCTGAAGGGTGGCTTTCTTTTGGGAAAACTGCATCTAGGGCCTGTCTGCCTCCTGCGGTAGAATATGCTTTCCAAAGGGGTTGGGGTGCAGGGAGTGGAAGGAGCAAATAGCTGCTACCCCTGTGCCCCAAACCCCTCAGGTTCATGAGGCAAGCTGGGAAACTGTGTGTTTGACCTTGGTCAAGGTCCTTCAGGCATCAAGTACCTAACTACCCTTACTTTGGCTAATGTATCAGTTATCTGTTGCTGTGTAGTAAGTTGCCCCATTATTTAGATGCTTAAAACACCAATCTCCTGTTTTTTTTACAGTCTGAGTTGGCTGGTAGCTTTGCTGCTGGTCTTTCCCGGAATCATCAATGCCTGCATTCATCTGATGGATGGTGGAGGCTGTTGGCTGGAGCCCCTTGCCAGGAATGTATTCTGTGTCCTTCTGTGTTCTGTTCATCAGAGCAAGTCACAAGGTCAGCCCAGACTCAACTCCTCCTCTTGATGGAAGATGCGAGCCGTGCATATGAGGATGGGGGTAGTGGAGAGTGGCTGGATGATAGATCAGCCATTAAGACAGAAACAACCAGTTTTGGTTGATTTCTCAGTAGTGGCTAAAAGAAATCTCACTAATATATCTTAGTGTTGTAGAGCAACCCCGATACAAAACGGGGTGCCTGACTGTGGGTCCTCACCCGCGCGCTTAAAAGGACTTATCAATGCTCTACTGCAGGCACACGTGAAAGGTTAATAAAAGGTTTATTTACAAGGGAAGGGGAAATGAGGAAATGTGCAGCTCTGGGAGAAAAGTGGGAGACAAAGTTTTAAATGAGTCCTACCCGATCCGCCGATCAGGAATCCCAAAATGGCGCTCTCAGAGTTGGCCGCCAGCCAGGAGCGGTGAAGCCAGGAGGCGAGCGATCGCGAGCCAGAGAGACCCCAAGGCCCACGTGTTTGGTTTTTATATCCAACCTGGCTGCCCAACTCCACCCTCAGGTCCCAGCCACACTCCCCTTGGTGGTGATGGGATTTGTCTTTCCCAATGTCCTGATGGCTTTAGTCTGGAGTGGGGGTGGGGTCCACAAAGCCTGTATGGGATTAACTCAGGACATCCTTTCCCCCTAACATTAGGACTGACAAACTCCCACCTACCACGCTGTAATTGCATGATTTCATTTCTCACCATCTCTCAGCCATGTTGGCCTTACCTGTCCTCACTCACACCCACCTCACACCCACCTTAGGACCTTTGCACCTGCTGATCCCTCTGCTGGCACATTCAGACCCAGCCCTTCTCCTGACTGCTCCTTTACCATGTTAGATCTTTTCTTTTTTCTTTTTAAAGATTTATTTATTTATGTAGACAAGAGCTGTGGTACAGGCCAGAGGTGCTGGGGGTGGGGGGAGGTGAGAGGGTTCACCAGAGAGAGAGTGGGGAGCAGAACAGGCAGATCAACTGAAATACACTGCTGAGGGAAGCAGAGGGTGAGACAGGAGAGGTCTGCTGAGCCATGTGGGCTGCTCCCTGGCAAGTTGGGGATCGGACTCCTGCTGCAGTGGCTGGCAACAGCTTGGGAGTGCTGTCTTTAACCCCTGCATCACCAGGGAGGCCCCACCATGTCAGATCTTTACTAGGTTTTCTCTGGTGCTTGGACCGAACCTCACAGCCCTGACACTGTGAGTTGTATAATCAGGCCTTATCTTCTGTGGCACATATTTTTAATTTTAATTTCTTTTTTTGGTCTACTGCCATTCTTTTCTTACCAGGCTCCAAGAATGCAGGGACTGTGGTCTGTCCACATCTCTGCTGTGTGCCCAGTGCCCAGTGCCCGTAGGGACTCAATAAATATTAACTGAAAGAAAGAATGAATATCAATGCTTTGGGGATTTTACAACATTAATATTCAAAGAGTTGTGGTTAGGGGCAGCTTAAATGGTATCATCCATAGTCTGTGAAGCAAGGCAGGGAGCTCATTTCTAGGCTGGATAAGCTCCATGATCTTGATCCTCTGTAGTCTGGCTAGTCATGACTATAAATGAGGAAGTGTTCTGAAAATCCACAGGCACAATGCAAGCACCTAGCTATGACTACAGAGAAGACAGCTTGGGAGTTCTGTGAAGGAAGGGTGGGGCTGGAGCACTTGCTGGCCTCTGGGAGGCGTGCCTCACTGGCTACTGGGTATGAACCCAGACTCCTGCCGTTGTGTTTGCTCATGAATTAAGGGGCCACTCTCATTGGTGGGGGTCATAAAAAGAGCTGAGGGTGCCCTCCCCAGTGGCCGCAGCGGGTTGAGCGCCACATTGTGAAGCTGTCCGCAGCCTCTGCAGCGTATCGTGGGTTCGATTCCTGGCCAGCCAGGGAGAAACCCACATGGCGCAGCAGACCTCTCCTGCCTCGCCTGCTGCCTGTTCTGTTCCTTGCTCTGTCTCTGGTGAGTCATCTCACCCTCCCATGCCTCTGATCTGTACCACAGTTCTTGTATAAATAAATAAATCTTGACGAAAAAAAAAAGGGCTGAGAGGCCTCAGGGTTCTTTGCCTCTCTTCCCATGAAAGTTGAAGACTGTCTTCTACCCTTGATTCTGGATGGGCTTGTAATGACTTGAATCCAATAGAGAAAGTCAGAAATTGCACTGTGTGACTTCCAGGGCTGGTCAGGAAAGGCTTCCACCTACTCCTCTTGGTATATACTCTCTGAGGCTCACCCTGAGACCATCAAGCTGGAGGGGCCCCGGCAGATGCTGCAGACAACAGCCCCAGCGAAGCTCTCTCAGGCGCAGCCAGACTACAGTCAGCCACGTGAGCGAGCGAGGGAGCGGCCAGATGGTCCTGGACCCGCAGCCCAGTCAAGACTTCAGATACCGGGGGCCCCAGCGAGCATCTGAGGCCACTGCCTGCAAGGCTCCAAGTCAGAATCCCTCAGCTGCACCTTTCTCAACCCACAAGATCACAAACAAAAGAAAATGGTTATTTTCTGCTGCCAAGTTTTGGGATACTATGTGGGGCATCAGTGATAAGCAGAACAAGCTGTTTCTTTAGTGCTTTCTCCCTCTGCAGGCCTAACATCCTAGGGTGATGTCTAGTCCCGACGCACTGACATCGCAGCTTAATAGGTCCAAAAATAAACTCTCGCTTCCAAGCCCACCTCTGCTCCCTTTGTCCTCGCTGTCCAATCCAGGCACCTCCTTTACCAGTTTTATAAGAGTCTGGGCATTGTTCTTGAATTCCTTTTTTCTCTCTCTCTTTTTTTTAGAAGTAGGGTACAGGCCAGAGTCGTGGGGGGTAAGAAGAGTCACCAGAGAGAGCGGGCAGCAGAACAGGCAGATGAACTGAAACACACTGCTGAGGGGAGCAGCAGGCGAGGCAGGAGAGGTCTGCCGTGCCATGTGGGTTGCTCGCCGGCGGAACTCACACCGCAAAGTTCGCGGACAGCTTCACAGCGCAGCGCACAATCCCCTGTGCCACCAGGGAGGCCCCCTTCTTTCTCTTCACCATACATCCAACCCCTCTGAAAAGTCTTTGGGCTTTGCCTCCCTGTGCCTGTCAGATTCATCCTCCCGCCAGGCTGCCATCCGGCCATGACCCTTTTCCCCCTGCAGCCTCCTGACTGGCCACGCTCCTTGTGGCTCTTGTTGTTGGCCTCAATTCATTCTCTTCACAACTGCTAGAGGGATCTTCTTAAGATATAAACCAAGTCATGGGCCCCCCCCAGGGCTCCCACAAGGCACCAAGAATAAAGTGAACCCACTCACTGAGGTCGCCATGGTGTTCCCAGGCTGGACCTTGGCCTCTGACTGGAGCCACACCAGCCACTTTTCCAAGGAATATCAGAAAGTTGCCAAAACTGTTCTTACCTCATTAACTGTCTCCGGGGCTTTGTCCTGTGGGAGGAGAAACCCCACTGGGAATAGCAGATAGGTCCCCCGACTCTGCTCTTGTCACATTTGCCTTCACTGTGGTGTTTGACCAACTCTTTTTCCTCCCCAGGGCCTCTGCATGGGCTGTAGTCCTGTCACCGCCGCCCTTTCTCCAGCTCTTCCCGTGGCAGGCTCCCTTCCATCCTTTGGGTCTGAGATTAAAGGTTCACATTTAAGAAGAGGTCTTGGAGCCTCCCTGTTGGCCTAGGGGTTAAGTCTCAGCGCTCTCACTGTGATGGCTTGAGTTCGATCCCCGGCCGGGGAGGTGACCCACATGGCGCAGCAGACCTCTCCTGTCTCCCTGCTGCTCCCCTCAGCAGTGTATTTCAGTCAGTCTGCCTGTTCTGCTCCCCACTCTGTCTCTGGTGAATCCTCTCACCCCTTGCACCCTTGGCCTACACCTCAGTTCTTCTATGCAAAAAAAAAAAAAAAAAAGAAAGTCGTCTTCCATCTAGAGATGGTTCTCTTCTGAGTCTCTATTTTGGTTTTTGGTTTGTTTCCTCCAAATCAAAGTGTGTCCCACTGCACTTACTTGGCTCTTGCTTTTAGTGTCTGGTCACGACACTTTTCTCTGTGGTAAGAACAGCGGCCCACTGTGTTCCTGGAGCTGAGTGGAGCCGAGCTTTCGCTCACAGCCAATTTCTGTAGCAGGAAGGTCAGGATTATCCCAACTCTCAGACAGGCAGAGTGAAGCCTGGCAAGGTTAGGGATCTTGCCGAAGGCATCTAGCTTCTAAGAAGTAGAGCCCAGCTTGCTGGAGTCCTAGTCAAGGGCTCTTCAAAGGCCGAAGTGAAGAGACAGGCTCTCTGAAGGAGAGGGAGGTGGTAGCCCCTCTAATGTCTAAATTCTCCATCCTCACCTACCAGGTTTTAACTGGGGAGCCCCACTTCCACACCCCTGCCTTCAGGGAGAGACAAGAGCCTGGGCTCGGGGAATGGGGTGGGAGGAGGGACACTACTTCTGCCTTCTTGCAGGGGAACCTTCCTGAAAGTGCTCTTGGCCCCTTTAAATACCATAGAGATGAGCTGGGCACGAGGCGAGGCGCCTTTGTGGGAGCTGCTGGGCAGCTGGAAGAGGGGGCTGGGCTCTAGGTCTTGTGCATCAGAACCGAGGCCTGCAGCAGCCCGTGGCTTCAAACCCATCTGCAGACACTGTGTGTCTGCGTGGGTGGATGTTACCTAGTGGGTGGGTTTTTCTGTCCTAAGTGTTGGGTTTCCCTTGAATTTTTTAAAAATGTATGAATTAGTTTAACATTTGATTTGAAGCTTTAAGTCAAGATTCTTCTTTAAAACATTTTTGGTAAATAGTTAACATTGTCTCGGAAAGTGCAAGTAGTGTTCAGAAATGTCTCAATGTTCTCTGATTGTGCAAAGGGTGGTCACATCTCTTCAGCGACCCGGAGATGGCTTGACATTGAGAATCCCGCTCAGGATGACCACACAGTCAAGGTCCTTCCCACCCAACCTCCCTCCCTGTCGGATCTCTTCGCTAACCCTCAAGTCCCTGCACCCCATCTCTCACTACTCCCCGAACATGCCTTTTCTCCAGCCTAAACTGGCTGGGTGCCCTCTCCCTGGAGCCTCCTACAGACCCAGTTAAGTCCCAGTTCTGATGTCCGGGCCCTCTGTGAAGATGGCTTCTCCATCCCCAGACTTCCGCACAGGAAGTTACTGTGAGTGGCTGCACCTGCTACAAGGCCTTGGCTCCTGTTGACATGTGAGCCCCTTGAAATACACCTGGGTCTTCACATGAACACCTTCCTAGGGCCTGGCATACAGTAGGTGCCCCCAAATGCTAGGTACAGTTAGGGAGTCTGAAGGCAGAGGCCTCTGCTGGACTCGTTCTGCCTCCTCCTTCCCATGTCCTCTGAGTCCTCGTGAGCTTGCCGTGCCCATGGGGGTGGTCGGGGGTGGTACCACCTCAGAGCTGTGGGCGCTTGGTGAGGGCAGGGAGGAGTGTTTCTGCCCTTTACAGAACCCCGCTTCTCCAGAAGGCCTGCTCCTAAATCCTGTCCTGGCCCCGCCTCTTTTCCACTCACTCACTCCACACACACACACACACACACACACACACACACACACACGCACGCACAGGGTGTCTTACTCCAATTTTTAATAAAATCACACAATTTAGGGGATCAGGCCCCACCCATTTCATTAGAACCTCCCGAGGTGGGGACTCAGTACTTTCTATAAGGGCTAACACCACCAGGAATGACCTCTGAGATGGCTGAACAGAATGTGCAACAGAAGGGAGGGGCTGTGAAAGTTGCCCTGAGGCTGCAGGGTGGAAGAGGATCCCCCATGCTTCTTCCCTTGCTAGGAGAGAGGCTCCCACCAGTGAGGACACCCACCCTGCAGGGAGGTGGGAGGTTCAGCATAGCTGAGCTGTGGACTTGCTCCCACAGTGCTGCCAGGGGATGGAACTTTGGGGGAGGCAGAACTGGGGGAATTGAGGAGCAGTGCCCTGGCTCTACTTCCAGGAGGCTGTTCCCTGCCCCAGGCAGCTGTGCCAGGTGCTCGGAGACCCAGAGACCGGAGGGGCAATGGTCCCTGGGGACAGAGGATTGAGACAGGTGACCAGTTTCAGGCTCTGGGGGAGAGTTTAGTGATCCTGCTTAACCTGGAAAACACTCATGGTTCCCGCGTGTTCAAAAGCTGGAAGTACAGGGTGAGACAGTAGGGAAAGGGTGCTTTCCCATGGTGTACCCCATCCCCAGGCTACTTCCCAGCAGTCCCTAGGGGTGTCAGGGCCAAGCAGGGGTATACTAGACCCTCTGCCCTCTTCCATGGGGCCTGCTGGTCTCAGGGAAGGCTGGTTTGGGGTGAGGGGTCAGAGCTACGCTGCCTGCCCCAGCACACAGAGAGGTGAGGTTTCCCAAATCCCTCCAGAGGCCTGGGGTGGGATCACACTCCCATCTGCCCTGAGTAGAAGACTTAATGGCTTTGCCAATACTGTCCCTTAGAGGCTGCGGCCCATCCCCAAACCCAGAGGTCTCATGGAGGTAGAAGGCCCTGGAAAGGGGGGAGACGGGGTGCTGCCTCCCTTCCTACTATCCGAGAGCCTGTGTTCATCCAGAGAAGCAACTGGCCACTCCCCTGGGGGACCCTCTACCTGAGGGGAGGACAGCACCCCAGAAATAGGAAAGAGGTAGAACCAGCTGAAAACACTGGCCCCCTTTCAACCACCGAATTCCCATCAGGTCTGTAAACAATATCCCTCGGGGCCACCCTCTCCTCCCTGAGGTGCTCACACCCCCAAGCTGCTCTTCTCCTCCTTGGGGCTGGGCTCCTCCTGAATCTTCTTCATCTCCCAGCCCCTGACCCAGGTATAGGCAAAGGAGCCGCCCAGCACCATCATGTTGCTTGTCCACCAGAGGAAGCTCTTGGTCTCCTCATAGTAGAGCACGGCCAGCACCGTCTGGGCGCAGGCCTTGGCCGTGCCCGACACGTTGTGGGTCAGGGGGCTGGTGAACTTGATCTGCAGTCCCGTGACGTAGCCGATGGCGAAGCCAAACAGGCCGCCCAGAGTCATCATGCCCCAAAAGTGGGCGCTGCCCAGCTGGGGGAAGTCGCGGAGGGCCTGGAGCTCCCCCAGCAGCAGCAGCAGGGGCAGGAAGAGCACGCAGGCGTTGACGTTGTTGTAGAAGGTCAGGCGCCAGATGCTGCCGTCCACCGCCGGAAGCACCTTCTTGGTGTAGATGGCGTTCAGCGAGACGCAGAGGCTGGCTAGTACGCCGAAGAGGGTGCCCACCCAAGACAGGGTGCCCTCTGCCCCTTCCTGGTCTACACCGAGCCAGAAGCCACCTGCGAGGGCAGAGCGGGAGGAGGAGTGTGAGGATGGGGAGGAAGGACAGTTCTGGCACCCGAGGTCATAGACTGTCTTGCTGCCTTGGGGCCCACACTCCCTGCCTGCCTGGTACAGACCGCCCCCCCCCCCCAAGTCTCTACCACATGCCAAGCACACACAAGGGCTGGGAAGTGGCCCGTGACTGGAACACTTCTTCCCAGAGCTTTCACTCCAGTGGAGGAGAAAGACATTGAAATGATTCATTTCCCAATTATTTCTTTAATTACAACTGTAAAATAAATAAGGCCATAAAATAGTACCGGGAGCTGTGAGAAGCCATAATTGGTCACCTGCGTTGGCATGGGGCATCTAGAAAGCAGCATCTGTCTGAAGGGTGAGTACTCGGCATTAGGGTGACCCTAGACAAGTGACTGAAGGGCTGTAAAGTGGGAATCCACTGCCCCCCAACACATCTTCACTCCTCAGCCTGCCCCCTGGGCCTCCTGCGCCATTGTCAGCCCCATCTCAGTCCCAGACCACCCAGCCGGCCCCCTCATCTCCCAGCTTTTCACGCAGGGACTCAGGGTCCTTGCTGTCTCCTCTGCAGGAACACCATCCTCTCTGCAGTCTTCAAGGTTAAGGCCCACCGCTCTGGCGGGGAGTTTTTCCTGATGCCCACGCACCCAGGCCTCTTCCCCGCCTCTTCCTGCCTGAGCTCCCCCGCAAGATCCCTCCCTTGCCTGCACAATCTCTAGTGAGACTCCATCTCCCCAGAAGGCGGGCACTGAATCACGCACAGTCACTCTCCACAGGCATCGCCTGTGGTAAGATGATGTAGTAGGAAAAATTTTGGTGTCAGAGACTTTTGGTCTCCAGCTGGGTCCTGCCATTTCCGAGGCTGAGTGGCCTGTGGAAAGTTTACTTCCCTGTGCTCCCATTTCTGTGAGATGTAGAAATCTGGGTCACTTTCTTGACCCTCTCTCAAACCAATCTTCTCGTCACTTTGCAACCAGAGCAGTCTTCCAGATCTACGCAGGTCCCGTCCTGGGTTAAAGTCCCCGTGTGGCTCCCCACTGCCCTCGGGAAAACTTCCAGACTCACTGCACTTGGGCAGCCTCGGGTCTGGTGAGTCTCGCCCTGGCCCAGCTGTGCAGGAGCACATGCGCTTTCTTTTGCCCAGAACATCCTCTCTTCACTCTTTCCTCTACTTCCACACAGCGCCTCCTCCAGGAGGCCTGCTTAGATGGCCCCCTCCCTGCCCCATCAACCCGCATTGCCTTCCAGGTCCCCTTCACACAGGTACTCAGTACTAGCCTCAGGCTATCACCTCGCCTTCTAGGAGTCTAGGGAACTTTTCCAAACTCAGACCCCCAAAGTCTGGCACAGGCTTGGTTGTTAATGTTTGCTGAACAGAGGGAGGAATGGATGGAGGCTGTTCTGGAGGTGCTTGGAGTACCAGCGGGGACAGGGCACCCACTAAGCACAGGCACTCCCTCATAGTATTTTTCTTCTTGGAGCTTTTTTGTCTGGGTACCCACAGACCTGAATGGGTACTCAAGGGGTACAGGGGAAGCTTAACCAGAGCACCCCTAGCTTCTTGCTGGTTACCTTTCAAGTTCGGAGGGGACAGCCACTCAAAGTTCCAGACCCCAGACCCCAAGGTTCCAGACTCCTGGACAGGAGATCTGAAAGGTACTATGTCACTTGGGGGCAAGGGAGGAAGAGGAGACTGGAGTAGTGGCCTGAGACTCATCTTCCCCTCGGGAGGAAGGAGAGAAGGGGAAAGATTGCAGAGAGGAGGCCAGGACCTGGTCTCCAGGTCTAGCCAGTGTCATTGAGCACCAGACACCAGGTGCCACCTGTGCCACCAGCTGGCCATGCTGCACCTTCTCAAGCTATCTCACCATCGGCTACTCGGGTTATTTTTTGCACTTGGGCCCATGTTCTCTCTCAAGTTGGCCTTATGCATGCAAATTCTCCCACCAAGAGCCTCCCCCACCTCCCTGCTCTGGCAGGACTGAGGTGGAGATCTCTGGGACTACCTACCAGCTGCCCCAGAGCAGGAAGCAGCTAAGAGATCTGCCCCTTTGCCCAGGGCCCTCGCAGCTCCTCCCACTCTAAGCCCCACTGGCTCCTTACTCCCATCTTGGGCCCAGGCAGAGCAGCCCTAGATCCAGATGTGTCCAATAAAGGGAATGTTTTCTAGGACAGGTGGCATGGGTGGGTCCCTCCTCTGAGACACCAGCAAAGAGTATGTAGGTCAACCTAGATAAACTTCACAGCACCAGGAAGAACCTGAGCAAGTTCAAATAAAGATCACATTCCTGGATGGCAGAGGCCCACAAGGACTTGGAGGGAGGGGAATGCTGAGGCAGGCTTACCCAGCATGCTGCGCAATAAGACATTCTGCGCCAATGGAAATGTTCTGTAATCTGTGCTGTCAATACAGAGGCCACTAAGCACTTGAAATGTGACTACAGGATCACGTTACAACACCTGTAACTGAGGAACTGAATTTTAAAAATTTCATTCAATTTAAATGGGACTAGACACAATGTGGTCAGCGACTACCGTACTGGATATGCAGCTCTAACCAGAGAGGTGTGGCTAGACGCGCAGGGGGCTGGCCAACCCCGTTTGCATCCTGCCTGGTTACTTCTTAGCTGTGTGGCACCTAGCAAGTAACTTAACTTCTGAGCCTCAGTTTCCTTGCTTGCATGGAGATGATCATGGTGATGCCGTTGTGAGGGGAGGCATCACCTGGGGGATGCCCCCATTGCGGGGGATCCTCTGGGGAACAAAGGAGATGGTAGATATGAATAATTTCCACAGTGCTCCCATCAATAATGATTATTTTCTGAGGGTCAAATCAGGGAACACGGCTAAGGCTTCTGAAAGCATATCTCTTGCCACTGTCTCAGGCATTATTGTGAACCTGCAAAGTCAGAAGGTGATGGTGTGTTATTAAAAGGTGCATTGTCCTCTAGAAAGAGCACTGGATGGGGAGGCAAGACATCGGAGCAGCAGGAGCATAGTGGCCCAGCCTGTGAAGCCTGAGTGCTTCACAGGCCTGAGTGCTTCACAGGCCTGAGATCAGACCCCAAGCTGGATGATCTTGGAGAAATGACTTAACTTCTCTGCGCCTTGGTTTTCCCTCTGTGAAATGTCAATTGTAACCCCACCTTGTAGGAGGCACCCTAGCTGGATCTTAACTTGCTGGGCAGACTCCAGCAAGTCATTTGCTCTCTCTGGGCCCCAGGTTCCTCCTCATCTGACTGTTGCAGCAAGGGAACCGGACCAGATAAAACCCAAAGAGGCCTGAAGGGTTGCCCTTTAAGGTTTTGGGCCCTCATGCCCTCCCCAGTCCCCCTGGCCCTGGCTGGCCACTCACCGATGATGATGCTGCAGGAGAGCAAGGCATAGAAGGAGGTGGTCTGCTTGAGCAGCAGGTAGGAGAGCAGCACATTGAAGACAGTGGTGAGGGAGCGGCCCACGTTGTAGAAGGCCACACCCACGTACTTGAGGCAGAGGTTGTTGAAGGTGATCATGCTGATGAAGACCAGTGACAGGGGCAGGACGCTGCGGGCCACTCTGGGGTCCAGGCGCAGGGTGGGGAAGTCCACGGCGCCAGGGCAGCAGGTGGCCAGGGTGCTGAGGCCTTTGCACAGCAGCGCGGTGACCAGGCACTGGTAGAAGGTGACGAAGATGGGGGTGTCCAGCCGCAGGGAGGGGCTGTCCAGCAGGTACTTGTTAAGGAACACCATGGAGATGGAGGTGACCCAGTAGAGCGAGACCACCAGTGCAATCTGGAAGGCCCGCAGCAGGAAGGGCTTCTCCTCCTCTGCCTCCGCATCTCCCGAGGCCTCGGAGGCTCCCATCAGTGCCATGTGCAGGATCCTGGACCGCTTCAGGGGGGCCCTGTTCATGGCGGCAGGGGAGCTCGGTCACCGGGAGTAGGGGTGAGCGCACTGCTGCTTTCTGCAACCTGCACCCCTCGACTGTCACATGGCAGCTGCCTACAGGCTTCCCTCCCTCCTCTCGGGTGGGGCGCTCTGGGGTGAGCTCCGCAATAGGCTCTCACCCCGAGGGGGCTCTCGAGACCAGACACAGGAAAGGGGCGACGGCCAGGCTGCGGCCGGGCGAGCCGGCGGGAGGGGGCCGGGGCCGGCGGGGTCGCGGGCGGGCAGAAGGGCGGGGGAGGACGGCCCGGCGGGGGCAGGGTGCCGGCCAGGGCGCGGGAAAGGGCGGCGGGGAAGACGGGCGGAGGCGGAGGGAGGCTGGAAAGGGGGTGCAGCGCGGGGCAGAGGCGCTCGGAGCGGCGGTCCCGGCGGGAGCCCCCGGACGTCCGCGCCGCAGCCCGGCGGGGCGGGCCCAGCCCGTTTCCTGACCCGCCCCAGCCCGTTTCCTGACCCGCCCCAGCCCGTTTCCTGACCCGCCCCAGCCCGTTTCCTGACCCGCCCCAGCCGCGCCTTAAAGAGCCCGCGGCCCGCGTCAGCCTTAAAGCCGCCGCCGCAGGATCGGGGTCGGGGTCGGGGTCGCGTCCCCCCCAGCCGCGCCCGCCCCCGCCCCCGCCGGTCCCCGCCGCGCGGAGGGTGACGGAAAACCCTCCCGCCTGCAGCCCCGCCCCCCTCGTCCCCCGTCCCCCTCGCCCCCCACCCCCCACCCGGCTCCGTCTCCTCCACGGCGCCACCCCCGGCTCGGCTCAGCCTCAGGCCCGTCCTTTCCTCCTCCCGCACCCCCTTTCCAGGCCGAGCCGCGCCCCCAGAGCCGCGGCTCCTCTCCAAGCCCTCAGAGCCGGGAGCCCCGGCCTGCCCGGCGCTGCCCCCCGCCCGCGCGCGCCCTCCAGGGCCCCCCGCCCCCCCGCCCGGGCTCGGCGCGTCCTCCCCCCGCGCTGCAGCCCCGGACGCGCTGGGGGCGCCCCTCGCGGGTTCCCTCCCGCCCGCTCCCCGCGACTGCGGCTGGTCCGAGCTCCCGAGCCTCAGCGCAGCACCCCCGCCGGGAGACACCCCCATGCCGGGCCCGGCGGCCGGCCGCGGCCCCCAGCCCCGCGCGGCGAGGCCGCCCCGCGCTCACCTCCGCTCCCGGCCCGCGGCGTCTGCGGCTCCCGGCGCCGCCCGCAGGGCCCGGCCCCTCCCCGCCCGGGCGTGGGCGCCGCGGCCGCCCCGCGGGCTCCCCACTAGGGCCGCGGACGGCCCGGGCCACAGCCGGACCTTGGCCCTGCACCCTCCCAGGCTGGAGCCCCACTTTGGCCGGGGCCACTCAGCCCCGCCCCCCGCCCCCCGGAGTCTCAGCTTAGTTACCGCCGCAGGCACGTCCGGGGGCCCCGCGGCATCTCCGGCCACGGCGCGGCCGGGCCGCGAGCGCTCGCAGAAGTGCGCGCCGGGGGCGCCGGGGGACTCCTGCGGAGAGGGGAGGGTCCCCCACCCTCCCACCCTCCCCCGGACGGGCCGTGAAGTCACGCCCCAGCCCGGCCCGACGCTGCGGGAGGGAGGCCGACTTCCCCGGGCTGCGCGGGGTGGGCAGGGCCTGCGACTCTCCTCCTCTCTGTACTGTGAAGTGGGGGCGGTAGGACATCAGGGGGCTCGACCGCCCTCGGAACCCTGACTGTCTGGGCTGGAAGTAGGGACTGCCACGTATTTATAATATTCAAACACCATTTATTTATTTATTTATTTATTTATACATGCACTGGGTATAGTCAGAAGCGCGGGAGGGTGAGAGAATTCACCAGAGCCAGAGCGGGGAGCAGAGCAGGCAGAAGGACCGAAGTACACTGCTGAGGGGAGCAGCGGGCGGCAGGAGAGGTCTGCGCGCCATGTGGGACACTCCTCCGGTGGCCGGGGAGCAGCCGGGGATCGAACCGGCGCTGCAGAGGCTGCGGGCAGCTTCGCAACCCAGCGCTCAACCGCTGCGCCACCGGGGAGGCCCTCAAACACCATTTAAATAGTACCTTTTTTTAAATTGACAAGATGGTATGTCTGAGCTTTACTTTTAAACACTCAGAGGACTCCCCCCAAAAGAGAAAGAGAGTTGACAGATTCAACAAGATAGGCAACATATTGCGAACTGTCGAAGCTGAGCATAGGTACAGGGGATTCTCCTTACTTGTGTGGATGTTTGAAAAATTACATAATAAAAAGGTAAAACCCTTGGAGTACATTTCAAGTTTCACTTCTTAACTGCATAGACCCTTGCCTGAGTGTAACCCAGCCCTTGGTGGGCTACTGGAACTGGACACCTTTCCAGCTCTGTCCAGCTCCCAGGGCAGGTGAGAACTCTCTCACAGAGCTCTGCCCCAGGCCCTAGTCTCCTCCACCAGGACTTCTGCCCTTGCTCTGCCCCACCTGCGTTCCCTCTTCCTCCAGAGAGGGACTTCCTGCTTCCTGGTTGTGGCCCTGTCTCCGGGTGGAGGAGGGCACCTGGTCACCTAGTCCCCACTGGGGTCAATTACCTCTTTGGGGAAGGAAAGCCCTAAAAGGACTGAACTGGTCATCTGCACCCTACTTGCAGAGTCCTCTTCTGGGGCCAAATCTTGAAGGTTGTGAGTTTCAGAATCACTTGTCTCCTAGACCTGATACTTCACCATGACAAATAATTTAATGACAAACAGGACAAGCTTGTCTCTGAGTGTCCCTGTTCCTGGAAGGGCCCTTTTCCTTGACACATTAACTGGAATTAATTTATCAGATAAATTTGCTGCCACCTTGAGCCTCTAGGGAGGAGACATGTGCTCCCTCAGAGGCAGCAGGTGCTGGAATGTGGACTCCCCACGGGAGACCAAAGTGTGTCCCAGGCTCCAGTGCCCACCTCATGTCAAACCTGAAATTCCACTATCAGCACATTAGCGATACTCCTTTGTAATAAGGTTGAAAAGGGCCAGTCGGACAAGTGTCCCAGATTCCAATTCTTTTCTGTTCCTTATGAGGGAAAAGGAGGTGGGATTTTTTTTAGGGTCAAAGGCCTTAGGAGTGGTATACTTTGCACAAACTGTCTGCTTTTGAATTTTCCACAAGGAATATTAATTGTTTAAACAATGTACAAAGGTTTAGGTTTTGTCAAGAGGAATTATCCTGTGTGAACTTGGTTTGGGGTGGAACATGAGGTTATTAATGTGACAGGTGGAAATTGTACTAAGCGAGGGAGTAGGTTCCTTTATGGGTGTACTTTCTTGCCTTGGCTGGAAGCTAATGATGATGTCAGTAGAAGGCAATTTCTAACAGATAAGTGAGCAGAACCAGCCTCCCAGGTATAGGGGTCAGTGGGTTTGTACCAACAGGGGCTGAGAGCTCTCAGGAATACACAGATGTCAACTATACCCCCACTCCTCTGCCCCCCACCCAGCCAAGTTCAATAAGGACTCAAATTTATTCTGTGTGGTGGACAGTACTAATTGTCTACCAGAACTCCCTCTCCTGTTCATCCAAAATAATGGAGTGGTAGCTTGTCACTTGCCTCCCTATCTGTCTGTCCATCCATCCATCCATCCATCCATCCATCCATCCATGCACCCACCTATCCTGTCTTTGTCCATAGGTAGAATAAATACCCATCTTACCTGCCACAGTAGATTCTCAGCATCCCTATTTGTGGAATGAACGTAAGTCAGAGCACCATAGGTGCCTGCGAATTAAAGTCGATTTAAGACTTTCATTGGCCTTATGTCCTGAAAAACTGATAAAGCTCCTCATTCATCCTATAGGTAGTTCAAAATATAAATGAATACTAAAAATTAATATTAGACTGTAAAATAAACATAAGCAGAGCAAAAAAGTTCTGATTTTTTTCTCCTGAAGATTGGGATGTTATTTTGAAAATAATATATTATTTCCAGAAAAAAAAAAAGTCTTTCATTTGTTGGTACTTGGAGCATATCCCTCGTTATCTACCCCAGGAGTTGGCAAACTTTTTCTGTAAAGAAGCAGACAGTAAATACTTACAAGTGGACAGAATATTTTCACTTCTCTCACCACTATTCCACACTGCTGCAGTAGTGTAATGGATAATTGGGGGCAGTTGTGTTTCAATAAAACTTTGTATATAAAGATAGGGATGGGCAGAATTTGCTTCACTAGTTGTGATTTACTGACCTTGGTTTACCCTATATTAGGTTTACCCTATATTAATGTGTCCTTCTCCCTCACTGTTGTTACCCCATATTTTGTTTGTATGTTACTATGTTCATCTGAAAATAGGACTCCCCTGGCTCCCTTGCAGCCAGACATGACCACACTTTTGGCCAATGAGTCAAACTGCTTTTGCTTTCTTGATGTAAGCACAGTCTTTGCTGGCCACTGGGGCTAGGGCAGCAGGAATGGGGGTCTGACTGTCAGGGAGTGCACCCAGGTTGGAGATGGAGTGGAGACCCCAAACCTGGCCAGAGCAGGATTGGGGTGGTGGGAGAGCAGACACCAGAATGGACAAATCCCAAATCATGAAATGCACCACCAAGGGAGAGGGCCTGCTAACGAAAGAAGTTGTGCCGTGGAGGAGGGGTTCTTTAGGCCAGAGCAGGAAAGCCAGGGGATTAGCAAAGAGCTGGCACCTCTTTAACAATAATATTTACCAGAGACACCACCTTTATTTCCTGGTCTGGCTTTGGGGGAGCACCTAGCTTTGGCTGATGCAAGCCTTTTTGTTGTAGGTTTACAATAGCCAGAAGCATGAGGCCCCAAAGCTCCTGTAACACACACCTGGAAATCTGAGCAGGAACATTGTTTACCCCTATTAACAACTAACCATGGGAAGAATGTTAGAGGGTCAGTTCTGCTGGGGGAGAGGGGGGAAAGGGTGTTTTACTAACAGCTAACGCTTACTGGGGAGCAGCTAGCTTCATGCCAGATATTTTATCTACAACATGTCAGCCCTCCCAAGGCCATAGTGACATTATAATGCCTATTTCATTATAATGCCTATTTTACAGATGAAGAAATTGAGATCCTGGAGATGTGTTGCTACCCTTTGCCCTGTTATTGAGGGGCAGATGTGTGCCTGGTACTCGGCTGCCCAAGCCCCAGGGGACCCCTCACGTTGGGGCAGGAGATTCCTCCAGCTGATCCACTATCTGATCTTTCTTTCTAGTTTTTTCACTCGTTCTTATTTTTTGCTCCCTCCTAAGTGCTAAGCTCCCTGGTGGCAGAGCATGTGGTAGCTAACAGTCATTGGGCACTTGCTGGGCACTGTGCCCTGGTCACTAATTGCAGGAATTGAATTGACTCTAATACTTGAGATGGCGCCATGAGATGGGCACTCTTTGTTTTTTTTTTTTTTTTAAGATTTATTTACTTATGCTTACAAGAGCTGGGGTGCAGGCCAGAGATGAGGGAGTGGGGAGGGGTGAGAGGATTCACTCGAGACAGAGTGGGGAGCAGAACAGGCAGATCCATTGAAACACACTGCTGAGGGGAGCAGCGGGCGAGACAGGAGAGGTCTGCTGAGCCATGTGGGTAGCTCCCTGGCCATGGATCGAACTCATGTTGCAGAGGCTACAGATAGCTTCACAGTGCTGAGTCTTAACCTCTTGTGCCACCAGGGAGGCCCAAGATGGGCACACTTATGACCTCATTGTATGGAAGAGGAAATCTGGAGAGAAGATAAACCCAGAGAAATAAATGTCACAGGGCCTGTACGTGGCTGGGCTGGGATTTGAAAGTCAGGGAAGCCTGACTTTCTCAGTTATTACTGTTATACTGTGCTTAGCACTTTGTGGTAGACAGAGTATTTTCAGTTCTCAGATCACCGAGCTTAAAGGTAACTTAGAGATTGTCTACTCTAATCCGTTACATTACAGAGAAGGACATGGGGTGGGTGCGGGATCTGCCCCAGGCCTCACAGTTTTGAGAAGGGCCTTGAGCTCCACTCTCCGAACTGCTTACAGCCCTCCTTGTACCTGAGCTTCTCCAGCCCAGGGGCTGTGCCATCAGCATCTTTGCTTCTTTGGCTTCTGGCCCAGTGCCTTCCATGTTGTAGGTGCTCAGGAAATGCATGTAAAATGAGCGTGAGTTTGGTGCTTGTGTTAATATTCAGCACAGCACTTCATTCCACTGTCTCTGGTGTCACTCAGGGCAGGTAGCATGTGGCCTGGCACGTCCGTCCTAAGTGTACGTCAGTAGTGTCCTCCCTCAAATTCATCCCCAGAACCTCAGAATGTGACTGGATATGGAAATAGGGCTTTTGCAGATGAAGTCAAGTTAAAATGAGCTCATGCTGGTTGAAGGGAGACCCGAACTCCCCTGACTGGAATTCTTATGGGAGGGAGACGTGGAGACAGGGACCCAGTGGGACCCAAGCCCTGTGAGGACAGAGGCAGCGATGGCTGCAGCTTCAGGTCTGGAGACTCCAA